AGCTCTATATAAGCCCTATAGAAGCCCTGTAGTTTTCATTTTATTGTCACTACGACCTTGGAGCTCAGGATGGCGATGCTCAACCTCACTCAAGGTGACTGGCTGCATATTACCCCCTAATACTACCAGTTATATTGGGATAATGGAAAATGAAATGGAAACTACTGTTTAGTATTTTACAGTATATTATTACCTCTAATATCACCCCAATATATGCCCTAGTTTCCATTTCATTTTCCATTTTCTTTTCCATTTGATTCTCCATTATAGTAGTTTCCATTTCATTTTCCCCCCCTAATATAACCCCAATATTACCCCAATATTACCCTAATCTCACTCAAGGTGACTGGCTGCGATTTGACAGAGGCCAAAACTGGCATAGCTTGTCAGACAGACGCCCGGCAGCACCTGGGGGGACTCGGTTATTTAGTGGCTGGGAAGTTTGAAACAACCAAGCGTCGCGCAGCAAGAGATGAAAAACCATCTGCCCCAGAAGCTGCAAGTTGCTTTTTCGACTGGATCTCAAACTCTCGGGTATGAAAACAGGATTAGCTGGTAGCTAATCTTGCAGCCTTTGAGCAACTTTTGGGCAAAGCCTGAGTTCCATGGGAGGCTTGCAGGAATGAAGGAACTTGTTGGGTGGTTCTCAAAAATGGACCTTCTCAATGTTCAACAAGGACTTCTGTGGTCCCCCTGGTATGTCTTTCCATCCCTAGAAATGCTCAAAGGTACGCCCGTCTCGAGAAACTCCTATTTCGTGCTGAGGATATCCTTGGCTGCTGGACCAGCCTCACACCTCCAGCTTCATCGACAGGCCAAAGAATCGCATCCGAATAGTAGTCTCCATCCAACGGCCATCATTAAGATGCGTAAAGATGGGTTCAACTGTCCCACTCCTCAAGCCAGAGATCTTAGCGGGGAGAGCATGAGTAAGGCCAAGGCTATACTAATTACTGCTTGCGTAGTTGCTGCCACTTTCGTGGTTGTCTGTTGTGGTAGAAGTGGTAGTTGGAGCTGTAGTCAGTTTCCCCACGCTTTTCGTTTGTCGCCGGTGCAGCCTGTCAGGCTTCCAGAAATTGCGTTAATGTGGTGCATTTATCTGTTCTGCCTGATCTTCAATCTCAATGCGTCCTACAGCGGCGAGGATGAGGTTGCAACTGTGACAGGTTTCAGCCGGGCTTTGGGAGCTCTAACTTTGATGACTACAGGACTTACAGGCAAACTCAAGCATTGGGGAAGCATGCGTTGAGCTTTGTACTAGCCATGAGCAACGCTTTCAGTGCTTGCCCAGGAAGGTTGCAAGACATTCTGGACATTCAGATTTCTTGCATCTCTCTTCATCGGCCTGTTCATAGGCGGGACAGAAAGTTACCTTGTCTGCCGCAAGTGAGGCTAAACAAAAAATGTTGCATTTCTGCAACCTGCAATATGAGACTCATCCCACCTTAAGAGATGATAAAGGTTCGGCTTGACACCTTGCTCAGCAGGTTTGACACCTATTCAAGCTTATGCTTTGTACGCCACAAGTGCTGCTGTCACACTGCGTTGTGCTGCTGCGCTTTACCAGTTCGTCAGGTGGATTCAGTTTTTTCGGCCACGTACGATGTTTTGCGTGGCTCCTCGCGTCTCCGCTCATCCGCCAAATCCACATGCCGCGCGCTCGGCACCCTTTTTCAGAAGATCTTGTGCGCAGCTTGAGTATCTGACCCTTGGGCGCTAGAGATCCCAATTTGTTTCTGTGCCTCAGTTTGGTCAAGGGTTGCATGATCAAGGCTTGCTTTCTGCTGTATACTTGCGTTGAGGGCAAACAAGACATTCGGTTCCTTTGCGAGCCTCCGCAAAAGTGTTGGGGGTGTCGCAAAGTCACGTCTCTTTGGCTGTTGGTATATGAGCTACGTATTTGTTCCTTCTGTTTTGAGACATACCGGCAAAGTTCTAAATCTCAAGCATCTTTCATGTGCATGTGAAGAAGGCCCTCCGTGTGGCTGCAGGTTCCTCATGCATCATGAGTGCATGGAGAAGCCGCCCATGTATCTCTACCTCACTGAGCCTTGCTTCAACGGGAGTGTGGAGAGATGCACTGTATTCCTTCTACTATGATTTGCAGCTTAGCAGGCAAAGGGTCAGATCTGCAGAAGATGTTGCAGCGTCAAGAGATCGGCCCTGCCCGTAAGCTCTTCTTTCGATGCAAAAGAATTACTTTCTGGACCTGGCAACAAAGGATGGGGGCCCTGTCGAGGACCTAGGACAGCCGGTCAGAGCTTCATGGGCAATGTGTTGTTGACTGTCCGCGGCTGCAGGACTGGTTCAGCTTCTGAGGCGGCGGCGCCGGTGGATCTTGTCCTTTGACGTTGGAGACGACCCTGCCTGTGAGCCCGCGCTGAAGTGAGCTTCAGGTTTCATTCCCTTCTGGTTTCAAGACGCCTGCACTATTGTCGGCTTCCACAGCTCCTGTCGGGGCAGTGACAATCAGGAATTCATTGATCTTCGTACAGCCATCGCGCTGGCACGCAAGGCCTGCAGTTGCCTTCCAAGGCGTAGAAAGGGCGTAAAAGGAAGGATAAGGAAGGCAGTTGACATATCGTACTTACGAAGTTCAAGCCTGAGCAACGTGTCCAAAGCAAGCACTCCCTGCTGCAGGAGCGTATTTGCAGTTTCTACCTGGCCGAGGAGATGTCAGTGTTTGCATGTGGCTACACAGCTATTGTCAGTGAATGAGAGTCCAGTGGCAGGGCTTGGATTGCATTGATTGTCACTAGCACTAACTTGTATGTCGCGCAGGATCCACGGCGAGACTTGGAAGGGGTGTTGGATGATTTTGCCAAAGGCCGCGAACGCTTCCTTCATCTCGGCCAGCTAGCTGCACAGCCAAAGGAAGAAAGCGTGTGGGGACGGTTAGAAGAGCTTCGCTGAGGGACTTCAAACCCTCCTAGACACGCCCCTTCTTGTTCGCAAATTGAGATGCATTGCAGATAATCTAGTCTGAGGTGTCCTTTACAACGACTCCTTAGCGACAAGCTCGAGACGAGCAACTTCGGCTGCATTTTTTGGTACGGCAAGTGCTATCTGCTATCCAGACTTTGAGGAAAATTTTCCTTGGCGCCTATCCGATGCGCTGTCTAAGGAGATCGGCGAGATCTTCCACGTCCGAATGCGTCTTCTTGACCCTCCGTCAGGCGTCCCGGTCCAGCCGCTAGTGCAGACCGAGGAGCTGGCAGCTTTCCCGGCACTCTTCTGATTGAAGCCAGCCTAGAAGAGCGTGCTGCCTTTGAGGAGGTCACGTCGCAAAGGTCTGTGCTGTCAGCGTCAAGCCGAATGGCTGCGGGGATTGCATTTCATGCTTTCACACGGGTCTTGAATTTGCGAACCGCCTTTAGAGGACTGGCCTTGATTGTAGTAGCTTAGGTCCATCTCCATCCGCTCAATGCGGACTTGGAGCTGGCTTCTGCAGCAAATGGCATGATGCAGGATCTTGCTTTGGAAAGCAGTTGCAGGGGTAGCTGTTGTGTTGTTCCGGTTGAAAAAGGGACCATCCCGTGGAAAATGCAAATCACTAGCTGCCAGCCATGACTGTTGCTGCATGACTGATGCCCAGCGTGCCTCCAGAGGACTATTCCGTGACGGTGTCGCAGACTTCAGGCAGCTCAGATGGCACGCCCACCCAGAAGAGGGCGGAGCTTGGAGGCGTGTTGAAAGGTTTCTCTGGCACATTCTGGGCATCAAAGCCAAATTGCAGACATGTCTTTCATACTGCTGAGCCGCAGGCATTTGCTGTGAATGCTGCCACGAGTGGGCTCACGGGGGCGCGTGCGGCGCCTTTCCGAATACCCACACTGTCAACCAGTTCTTCACGCCGAAGGCGTGTCTACTGGAGTGCGGAATGAAAATGGCGATGAGTAGGATCATACGGATGACGGTATCAGTGACAGTGGCATTGTAGTTGTAGTGGTGGTGGTGGTG